CTTGGTCTCTGCTGTGCAGATCCTTCCCTTCTTCCTTGTGTTAGTTTAGCCTCCTGTGAGCTGACTGAAATTGCTAGCCTGGACAGAGCTTCATGATGTGGCTAAGCCAAAATATCTGCTGCTTCTGGGAAAAAAATAAAATAATAAAAATAAAAGAAGGAGAGGAAGGAAGGAAGGAGAGGAAGGAAGGAGGAAGGAAGGAAGGAAGACGTGAGGAAGAGGAAGGAAGGAATGAAGGAATGAATGAAGTAGGGAGGACGGAAGGATGGTTAAGGGGGAAGGTAGTTCAGAGTGAGGCGTTGAGTCTGGACCTTCGTTTCCGTCTTCCTGCGCCGTTTACTGTGCCGGATTGCCGGCTGGTACTTCCTTCCGGGACGGAATTCCTGCCTCCTTCCTTCTTTTCATTCCTGTCCTTCCTTTCCTTCCGTCTACTGCCAGACTTCCATCCTTCCTTTACTTCATTCCTTCCGTCTGTCCTTCCTTTTCCTTCTTCCTTCATCCTGCCTTCTCCTTCCCTCCCTTATTTCTTCCTGCCCTTGTGCACCTTCCGTCCTGCCTTCGTTCCTTCTCCTTCCTTCCGTACCTACCGTCTTGCCTTCCTTCTTCCTTCCTTGCTCCTTCCTGGCCGCGGCCTGTCCTTGCCCTTTTCTTCGCTTCCTGCCTCCGTCCACCTTCCTTCCGTCTTCCTTCCTTCCTTCCTTCCTTCGTGGCCTTCCTCCCCTTCCGAGCTTCCCCCTAAACTCCGGTAGGATTTTTTGCTCCCTCCAATCTTTTCCTTCCCTTGTTCTGCCTGGGGCCATATGATTCTATCAGGCATTTTTCACCGTGATGAATCACTAGGGATTGCTGAGGTCTACACCACGCAGTCATTGTAGGACCCAGTTCTGTCCAACCTTCCTTCATCCCACAGCGGGATGCTGGGGTGGTTTGAAAGTCTATGTCAGCTCACCTGTCAGCTTTCTTCCCAAGTGCCCTGTCTGTTCAGTCCTGTGACATGTATCTTGGAGCTTTTATTTAAATAAAGGCATGGCTGTTAAAGTAAGGATGTTCACCTATTCTGTTCTGAAATATCCTACAAGTTGGAATATCTTCATGTACTTCTCTGGTTCAAGTTCATGAGTGAAAACAATAGAGGGACTTAAGGACAAAAAATATTGACAGATTCATACATGAAAATGCCTCAGGGTTACTGTAATGAGGGAGGAGATTCATAAAAATGTTTAGCCAATCTTCTGGTGGTGATGTTACATTGGCAGTTGTTGTTTCTACTCCGATTCACACCAAAAGGCCAACACCAAAAAGGAGTAAGATCACTGAGCACATGGATAAATGTAACATGTTGGGAAAGAGCCAGCATAGTTTCTGTGAGAAGAGATACTGGCAAGTCTGGAGAGATCGCAGACTTCCAGCAGATTTGTGAGTCAGGAAGCACATGGACAAAGGCAATGTACTTAGGATGTACTTAGATTTTTCAAAAAGCATTTTTGAAAAAGTCTTCTCACTAAAAGCTCTTAAACAAAATTACAGCAAGTGTCCTATTCTAATTTGAAAGTCTGGATAAAGGATGGAAACAAGTAGAGTTTGATGGTTACTTCTCAGGGGAGAGAAAAGTTAGCAATGCTGTCCTCCAGAAACATTTGAGTTTATTGATGCTGGTTTAAATATCACAGAATCACAGAATTTCTAGGTTGGAAGAGACATCAAGAGATGTTGTTTTACTCAATATCTTCATCAGTGACCCAGGAAAAAGGAGCAAGTGCACACTGAGTGGTGCTTGGATGGTGTTAAACCCTGTTGGATAGTCAAATGCTGTGCTGGTGGGAGGAACTCCAGAAGGTCTTCCAAAACTGAATGGGTAAAAAGATTGCAAATAGGCTTTAAAGTAGATTACTGTAAAGTAAAACACAGGATTATCTGTGAACCCTGGAAGTCTAAACTTACCGTTGACAGCTTTCTGAAATCTTTGGGTCAAAGTGCAGCAGTGGGAAGCAAACCACTAAAAAACAAGAAAACAAACGAAACAACAAGAAAGCAGACACCATCAGGGAGAGTACTGAGAGCAAGGCAGAAAGTAGTACACTACTCTGTCAGAAACTTGAACTTAGTCCTGTCTGAAGTGAGTACAGCGTGTAGTTCCGGTCTGCAGACACAACTGAATTAAAGAATTTATTTTGAGATGACTAAAATCATCCAAGGGGATAGATTGGCTGTCTTACAAGGGAATACCAAAGAGAGTTGGATTCTGATTGTGAGAAGACAAGATTGAGAGACATATGATCAAATTTTACAATTGAGGAAGGCCCTGCTTGAGGTGAATGCAGAAATAAGATTCTTGACCCAGTGCTAGGGTCAATTGCAAGTGGAAATGCAAGGTATGGGTCTCATTCTGGGAAAACCATGTTTCTGGTCCTGGTGCGACTGCTGGTTACCAAATACTGGGCATCCCTACTTCTGTCTCGCCTTTTAGGTGGTGGCAAAGCTAGTGGAAATGATCCAGCTTACAGTCAGCCCTGTGAGGTGCAACATCTGGGGGTGCTCAAGGAAAGGCTGGACCTGGTGCTTAGGGCCATGGTTTAGTGGGTGATGTTGGTAGTAGGGTGATGGTTGGACCAGATGAACTTGGAAGTCTTTTCTAACCTTATTCTGTGATTTCTTGGGGCAGAGGCTGAGTCCACCCTCAGTAACAAACCCAGTGCTCACACACAGCAGTTTCCTTTTAGGACTGCCACAAAAGGGACCGGGTGTTTCTCTACTTTAGGTGGCATACTGGTCCTTCACACTTCCCAAAAGCACTTTCCGAAGACTCCCGCGGCAGAAGGGCTGCCGACGGGATTTCCCCGGCGCTTGAGGAGCGAGCGGCAGCCCCACGCTGCCTCCTGCCGCCCGAGCCGCCGAACCTCGGCATGGCGGCGCCTCCTCACAGCGCGGCCGCCCGCCATCGCCACCACCACCACCACCACCACCGCCACCACCGGGCCGGGACCGGGCCGTTTCCACCGTCCTCGGGGCGAATCGGCCCCGGGCCCGGAGGGGCGGCCGGGGGAAGGCTCGGCAGCGGCCCCGGGGCGGTGGAGAAGCGGCGCCGGGCGGGCTCCCCCGTGAGGGCTCGGCGCGGTACTGCCGCCCGGCGCTCGGCCCCTCAGGCCACAACGCGGGGCACGGCGCGGCGGGGACCCCGGTTGGGGCACTCCGAAATGTGAGGGACAGCCAAAAGGCTGTTTTCTGAGGTTTTAATCTAAAATTTTAAATTTCTGGCTGGAAATGAAGGCCGGCCCGTAACGGGGGAGAGGCCTCCTTAGGCAGCAGCACCTCATTTTACTGCTCAAAGCATTCGTAGCCCCGGGCATCCCGACCGGAGCTGGCAGCCCTAAGTGTGACCTCCGTCAAGAAAGGGGAGCAAAATATTTGCAAAGTATGGCAAGACAGCAGTTACTTCCACAGTTAGACACAAAGTTTTGCAATTTCAATAGTTGGATATTGAACTTTTAATTTAATATTGAACTTTTCTGCTGCTTTTCTACCACCACCACACACACGTGTGAGTGCCCTGCAGGAAAAAGAAATGATATATTTATTTATTTGTTTGTTTGTTTGTTGGTTTTTTACATTTAGGTAAGCGTACAGACATGACATCAGCAGGGATTGTGGGACACTTGATCAACTTGCATGAAAAAAAAATAAAAAAAATCCTTGACTGCAAGCACAGGATTCTTCCCCAAAATAATATGTAACGCAAAGCTGTCAGGCACACCGTTCCCCTCTGTGATGCCTGTGCAGTAGCGCTGCTGTTTTCAGAAAGAGTGGCACAAGTGTAATTCACCCAAAATGTAACCAAAGGGAGGTTTGGGGCCTGAAAACTGATTTTTATTTTTATGTATTTATTTATTTTGTAATAGTTAAGGCAACTTATCCTGGTAGGGCTTACGTATCCTTCATTAGGTGATGACGATGTTTAACTTTGATTAAAACTTGAATGAAAAGAAGGCAAGCTGGGTACAAGGAGCTAGAAAGTTCAGAAAACTTGAGAGAACTTATTTAAAGGTTTAAAATATTAGGTGAGACATTGTGGCTGACATGCTCTTTAAACATTTGTATCCCACCATGGACAAAGCCCTGAGTGTGTTTCACCAGATCTGCTGAGTGTGGACAGTCAGTTTTTTCAATCTTAACACTTCATGCACTTTTATTTTCTCCTCGTGTGCCATTCACAGAGGCAGCATTTTATCTGTAGCAGTGAGAAGAAATTGCATCACTTTTCTGTTCACATTTTCCTGTAAGGGTGCCCCTGAAACTCTCGCACTCATTGAAGCAAGACCAAAGGGCTTGATGAGTGATTTTGCTACTTTATTTTTTAATTTTTTTTTGGTCTTTCTCCACAGTTCAGCAACTTTATTGCTTACGGTTTTACCCTAATCCCTTTACAGTTCGTGTTGTTTGGTGAGTGTGGGGGGAAATACGTGTTTCACTAATTTACATGGTACATGAGCATCTGTCAGCAGGTCGCAGCGCTCCGTTCGGGCCGCTTTATCCCCTCCTCACGACCTCCGGTTTGTGTCGGTGCCGGGCTGCTGAAGCAAAAATGCTCGGATCTTAGAAATCTCGGGGCGCCTTCCCGAAAGATAAAATAATACATAAATAAATCAGCTTTTCGTAGCCAGGATTCACCCAGCTGCCGGCCGCCTTCCGGAGGAGGCAGGGGAGGGTTGGTAGCGGGCGTGAGGAGACCCCCGGAGAAGGAGAAGGGGAAGAAGGGGAAAGGAAAGAAGGGGAAAGGGGAAGAAGGGGAAGGGGAAGAAGGGGAAGGGGCATCGAGGCGGCCGGGAGAGGCCGGTTGGAGGTGCGGGGGGCTCCGAGGGCCGCCTTTTCGTGGCCGTGCTGCGGCTGAGGCGAGCCGGCAGGGGTCGCTGCTGCCCCGCTCTGTCCCCGCTCGCCTCCCCCGGCGGTGCCATTGGAGCGGGCGGCGGGCGGTTGGCGCCATTTTGAAGCCGACAGGGGGGACCGGGGCGAGCTGCGGAAGGGGAGGGGGCTGGAGGCGATTGGCTGCGGCGGCGGCGGCGGCGGCTCCTCGGCTCCTCTCCTCTCCTCTCCTCTCCCAGCCCCGAGCGGCGGCGCGGAGCCGAGCGGAGCGGAGCGGGACCCGCCTGGGACCGGCGACGAGAGGGCGGCTGCGGCGGGGTAAGGAGCCGGGCACGGCGCGCACCGCTTCTCGTGTCCCCCCCCACCCCCCCCCTCACCCTTCCAGCTCCATTTTCCCTTCCCCGGGGGCTTGAGGAGGAGGAAGAGGAGGGGAGGGAGGAAGAAGAAGAAGGAGAAGAAGAAGGAGGAGGAGGAGAAGGAGGCGGCGAGGGGGGGGCTCCCCCCTTCCCATCCCCCTCGCCCCTCCGCGGGGCTGCTCCCCTCCCCCCCCCACCCCCCCCCCTCCTTTTCCCCGTGGCCGCCGATCGCAAATTAAATTAAATTTGCCCCACAGCGAGGGAAGGTGGTGGTGGTGTGTGGGGGGTGATGACCTTGGTATTTTTGGGAGCTGTGCCCCTGCTTTAGGTCCAAGGGGGGAGGGGGGGGATCACCCCCTTCCTGCTCTACCACCCCCCCCCCATTTATTTATTTATTTATTTGATTATTTATTTATTTTCCTCCTGGAGGCTGGGGGCTGTCCCCTCCTTGCCCCTCGGTTTTGGCAGAGGGGACCCCCCCCTTATCTCCCCCCCCTTATCTCCGAGCTGCCCCCCAGCCCCGGGGGCCGGCAGGACCTCGGCTCGGTGTCTCCTCCTCACTTGCTGCCAGCCCGTTTCTTTCATGCTGGCTTGCTTCTTTTTTTTTTTCTTTTTCTTTTTTTTTTTTTCCTCCTTTTCCCTCCCCCTTTTTGCATCAGGCTCTGTTAGAAAGCGGTCGGGAGGGAAAGGGGGAAGGAGGGGTTGTGGTGGTGGGGGGGGGGTGGCGCTGCCTGTTAGGTGAAAAACTATGAATTTTACATCCCGGTTTGCCAGATGGAGAATGGTTAATTTATGGGGTACGCATTGTTTACGTTGGGAGCCTCTGGTCAGGAATCCAGGTCTGTAACTTCATCCCGCTGCAAATAAATCACTCTCTGGGCTTCCAAGCAAATCAACAATTAACGACGGTGAACGATCCCGGGAAATTAAGCTGCAGCGGACCGGCTCCTCCAGAGCTGGGGGTTTTTTGCCTTATCCCGACTTTTGGGTTCGCTTCCTGCACGCCCGACCGCTTGCTGAGGACGGCGATTATTTGGCTAGGCGTTGCTTTCTGATTTAACGCAACTGCCCCAGTATTTTCGTGTTGCTCTTTGTTTTGCGCTCGGTGGGAAGGTGCTCGGGCTGAAATTGATTTCTCCTTGCTGGGAAGGGAATAGGAGGAGTGTTTAAAGTGTGAGCGGCTTCGGGGCTGAAAACGGGTGGCAAATCACCTTTTAGGGAGGAGGGAAGGTGGCGTGCGTCCCTCCAGGTTTTCCCCTTTTGAACTATTGGAGTAGTTTGGGGTTCAGTTGGTGCAATTTTGTCTGGTACCTCTTGAATGATACACTCTAGATACTGCATGCACTCCTGTGAAAAGACACGAAACAGCTGGATTAATGTTATGCCGTGCATAGCCAAAAAGAAAGCAGGGAGCGATACTCAGCCAGGTAAAGATAGTTTAGCTGAGGTGTGTGCATCGCCCACACTGGAAAGTGAACACCACTAGCCAAAGTACTTTAGTTCTTGTGTGACATCTTGTGTCTGTGCTTGAAGCAAGGCTGCACTGTGTTACTGTGAGGCAGGGGGTGATTTTCTTTAAAGTTCTTATACAGTTATAACTGCCTGAGACTTTCTTGCACTTCTTTACTACTTAGTGTACAAGCTGGATGAACTGTATTGTTCTTGATGAAACAAGTAAGTTGAATTCAAACGGAAAACTGTGTGTATAACATCTGCGTGCTGCTGAGTTGTTTTCTCATGCGCCATATGAATATGGGTTTTAGGCTGTATCTAGCAAGCTTACTTATAGACTTAAATTGAGCAAGTCAGCTAAATTGTTATTAGGCTGTAACTAAAATGTATTTTAAAAAATCCAACAGTCAGTGCTAGCATTTGGAGAAGTATTGTAAAGAAATACGGACATGATGTTGTGCATTTTTGGCTCTAGAGCAGGAGGCTGCCGAAAAGAGATGCTTTTTCTTCTGGGATGCGTTGCTCTCTACCAGGTCTCAGATTGTACTTTTCTGTCCTCTCGTTTTTTCAGTCACGCAGTTTGTATGCATACAGAACAGTGAAAGGTTGTATGGACATGTGTAGGATTCTTTCAGTAAAGGGTCTTCGTTTAAAGGTTTTTGCACTAAATGCCTTTTCATAACCCCTGACTTTGGAAGAGGTGACACAGGCTACTTGTTGAACATGAAGAATTTTTGTGGGAGCAATAAGTAAGAAAATGTGGAACTGAACAGTAAAAGCATGCAAAGTAGGAAATGGGGGAGAATATGATACAAATGGAACTATTTTTCCCTTCCAGTTGGATTCTAATGTGCTTTACCTTTAATGCTACTTAGCCCAAATTCATACCTGCCTCTTTCTTGACAGTCTTTTCATCTTCTTCTTTCCTTCAGGCAAGAACCAAACAGTAGTTGTGGTGTCCACTACTGACAAGTGGTAGGACAGTGGATCGTACTTCTAACAAGTTTCTCAAACAGTGGTGGTTTCACTCATAGCATAAAATGCCAATATTGCAACCTGAAATAATCTTTGGAAAGACTGAGAGAGTATTGGAGGTTCTTAGTTTTGGAACTTGCTGGTAAGGGAAAACTGAGGAAACCCTTTTATTTATTTATTTATATATTGTAAGGGTGTGTTAGTGTCACTGGCCTTGTTGGGGACGTGTTCTGTTGATGTATCTGGATTTGAAGTATCCAAGTATCCTCCTGGACTATTTGAACACCATTGATGGAGGAATTATGTGCAGGCTTTGAAAGAATTACAAAATATATGCTTAAAAAAAAAAACAACACACCCTCAGAGTTTGAACATCTAGGAATTAAGACTTCCATTGATATGATCTTCAGTTGAATGTAGTTTTGTGGAAAACTTGATTTTGATTTATTCTTTTTATACTTAGGTGAAGTATAACAGAGGTGTAGTATGTAAATGAAAATGCACTTTATTGTAGCAGGTTATTAGTTAGTAGTTTGTTTAAAAATCTGGAACACTATTTTGGGATTCCAGAATAAAAATAAAATCCTATTACTGCAAATAATTGCTATGACACATCTAACTAGAACCAACTCAATGAAACGCAACTAATATTTTAGCACTTTGATTCTTAAAACCAAAGTTATCCCCTCCACTCTTTTTATAACTTATTATGATTGCTGCATATACTGCTTCCCAGCCTTTCCTAACGTGTGAGGAAGTGTGTAGTCCTTCTAAAATAGTGTTTTTTGGGGATTAAAACCTCTGTTACTTTGTCCCCATCAGTGGAATTTACTCTTTCAGGTTCTCTCCCAAGCATTGGGAAACGTTGTACAGCACGCTCCTTGTTCTACACTGCCTGATCTTCAGCTCTTGTTATCTCAGCCGATGACAACTTTGGTATTAATATGCTTCAAGAGAGAATTTTTTAAAAAGGGAGGAAAAAAAGCGAGCCATACCTCATTGGGAACAGATGGACGTGTTTGTACTAATCATCTTGTGTCTGTCACCATTTATATGGCAGTACCGTAACCAGGGATCAGGACCCCATCTGGGGTTTTCTAATTTATACCCCGTTCTTCGGAGATCGATTCCAGACAATCCAAACCCCGCGTACTTTTTCTCCGACTTAATTAGGCATCCTGGTGGATGCTGCTTCTGCTGAAATTAGATGCTTTGCTTCCATTACTTTTTATGGGATAAAAAGAGACACAAAGTTAGCAGTCAAAAAATGTTATCTCCTTAATAGCTTCCATTGTATAGTCACCTGAACTGCATTTCATGGCTCTTTTAAACAGGACTAGATTTAGCTAAAGCGTAGTTGTTAATCACTTAGTGACCATTGAGTGAGGTTTTCCAGCTTTTGTGTAAATTTACCCATTAGTTGTCCACAGCTTCTTTCAAAGCAGCCTCTGCTTCTCCCTGAGGCATCCCCGGTGTATCCACATTGTAGCTCGATTCAACATCAAGAGGAAGGCTTCTGAAAGTCTTGTGAGGGGAAAAAATACTTTGTTTATTGGGGGGGGGGAAGCTGCTATCCATGCTGCGTGTAAACATATTGCTCTCAAGGAAGACTTCTTTTAAAAAAAAAAAAAAAAAAAAAAAAAAAAGCCTGAAACACATCAAAACTTTGTGTGTGTGTAATCTTTGAGCCATCCAGAGCTTGGCTGCTTGCTTCTGTTAGCCCTGCTTTGTTACCTTGATGCAGAGAGTTTCAGTGAAGGCAGTCAGATTTCTGGGAAATCTTTTTTGGCTGTGCCTATGTTGGGTTTCTGTTCTTAACAAAAAAAAAAAAAAAAAAAAAAAAAAAAAAAAAAAGAATTGAGGTGCGTTAAGAAAAGTGGGCAGAAGATTATAGATTTATTTTTTTAATTAGGGAAAACTTTTTTCCTGCATCTAGCTACTTAAAATTTGCAAGTTCTCAGGGAGAAAACCTAAGGAGGTGCAGGGTGGTTTACTGTTAGGTGTGATGCTGTGTCTTGGGCACTTGTTTTGTTTGACAGCTCAGTACGAGGCATCGTGTGTAGCTCGTCATGACTTCCTGCACACAGAAACTGAGTGCGTGGAAGAGACTACAGCTTGTGCAGCATCAGTTCGTGTAGCCTGTGTGTAGGGCAACGTCTGCACTCTCCACGTGCCACCCACTGCTTTTCAAAGGTCTGTGGGAGATGGACAAGTCGTGGACAGCTAATTCATGGTATATTATGGTTTATTTCCTATCAGGAGCATGAAATAGTCAGAATAAGGCCATAACATTTTGCTTTCCTGGTTTTTGGAACTGGAAGAAGGAAAGAAAGTCCCCCCACCTTTCAGAAGACTTGTGAGGGAGTTCTTCGGAGAGATGCCAATTAAGAGATGCATTTCCCTACCATTTTCAGCTTAGATGATGCAGTCCGTAGTTCTCTGAGGCAGATCTGTAATTGAGGGAATTAAGGATGGAGACTTTCATGCATGTACAGGTTTCTGAAAGTGTGCTCATTTCAACTGAGTGTGCTTTGA